ATGACCTGCTGCAGGTGCACAAATTAGAAATATTCTCTATGCTTTCCGGTTTTGCAGTTAATACTTTTTATATTCAGCCCTTGATGCATTAAACTTATACTTGTTATAAATTTATTGCTGTATTATTTCTTTTAAAAATTTTTGGACGTATCTGTGTGCTTCACAGTTATGTAATAAAAATATATGAGTAATTGTTCATTGAGAAAATAGAAGAATTTAGGGCTAGCTTGGTGCGCTGGAATGAATTGGAATGGAATGAGAATTGAGGTGGGAATGGAATGAGAAGAGAATGGAATGGGAATGTTGATTCTCATTCTACCATTTGATTGCAAACATGGAATGTGTAAAGTTTGAATGGAAGAAATTTATATTATTTTCTTTAAATACATTTTATTATTAGTAAAAAAATTTAACTAAAAAAATTAACAAAAGCAAAATGGAGAAGAGACGATAGAGAGAGAAAATAGACGAAATAGAGACAGAAACACAGAGAGTCTCCATAACTATCAGCATTCCCACCGCCACAACCATGACCATCACCACTATTCATTTCGATAAATGAATTCTGAAATCCACCAAAAATACCAAAAACAACTGTGAGAGAGGAATTCACTAATAGAGAAAAAGATGCTTCTGTTATGCCAGATCGTCACCGACAGAGGGGACAATTCCAATGACCTACAAGAGATATGATTTCGGCCAAATAACGAACCAACAGCGTGCTTCAGTCCGGCGACGCTACAAGCGTCCTCGACGAAACCCAGTTCAAAATGGTTGTGGACTCGCCGGGGCTCTGTACAAGAATCAGGTGTAGCTCTATAACTTCGTTGCCATTGTCAGAACTGCAAGCTTTGCCGCTGGTAAGACGTCGCCCTTGCTAGCCATTTAAAGTTAAGAGCATCGCCGTCCTTCTTTATATTGAATTAATTTTATGAAAATATTAATTTTTAATAAAACCCAGTTGTCCGCTGGAGACACTGCCGGATTTCACGTGGTTCTTCCTAATTCCCATTCCTAAGAAAAAGGTATGAAGAAGGTGAATAACTCGCCGGTTCATTCCGCCGATAGTCTTGCTCGTTGGGGTTGGCTTTGCTTCTTCATTGTTCGTGTGTTTATAGGATTGTTGTGATGGGTTTGTAATTTGTTAGTGATAGCTTTATTTTTTAATATTTTTTTTAGTTTGTATCTTTTTAAAGTAGGAATGGAATGGTCATTCCTTTTATCCGAAGGTGGAATAATTTTGGTAAAATGACCATTCTTCAAAAATAATGGAGAATAACGATTCCAAGTTTAAAATTAGGCACCAAATATAAGAATGGAAAAAAAAATATTTCAATCACTTTCTTTGTATTCTATTCCACTGCACCAAACTAGCCTGCTCTGATTGTCAACTAGTCAATTCGTCCGGTTTTTTTTTGTCTGGGACAGGTGAATGGCGTAAATGCTCGTTGATAAGGATGAAATTCATTTAAATATCAAGGACAAACAAATAGTTTGGTTGTTTTTAGGATAGTAGTCGCTCATAAGTTAAAAAAGTACCATGGACAAAAAGTACCATGGACAAAAAGCACTATGATTTTCACTAATTAACCTATGAAGAATAGGGTTGAGCCAATTAACTAAGGAAAACTTCAATTTAGGAATATTAAAAAAAAAAAAAAAAATGAAGAAGAAGAAAGAAAAGAAAAACAGTATTATGAAGTATCTTAGCCACTCACGATAAAGGTTGTAAAGTAGAGCCTATAACACAAGAAAAAAAAACCAAAAAAAAAAACCTGGGCACTAAGGTTTGTGGATATAAGAGATTAATTTATTAGTATCCATAAGAGGTTGATTTATTCATTTGAAGCGAGGTGGAGAGTGAAGTCGTTTGCAAAAAATAAAAAGTCTCATTTTCTTTATTACATATCTTTTTTTCTCCTAAGTTACTTTACATATAATATTGGGAAAATTATATTTTGGTGACCAAAATTAAACATAATTGCTATATAGTGACCTTAAAATCAAGAAAATGTGGATAGTAACCAATCTTGAAACTTAATTGATATTAAGTGACCATTTAAGGATAATTTGGTCAAAAATACTTAAAAGTTTAATAAACATTTTAAAAATAAATTTTAAATGGCAAAATTGCCATCAAATATAAATCATAAGTCATTGAATTCATCCTCCTCCTACTCTCTCTCTCTCTAATCCAACATTTTCTTTTTTTCCTTTTTAATTTATAATTTACCAATTTAAAAAATTAAGATTTCTTTATCAACATTATCTTTTTTTTCACCCTTTATCTATTTTTCAAGGCTTTCAACCATCTAATATTTTCCTTTTTAGTTTACAATTTACCAATTTAAAAAATTAAAATTTCTTTATCAACATTATCTCTTTTCCATCCTTTATTTATTTTTCAAGGCTTTCCAGCATGAACGCTCATAACATTTACAGTGGCAAATCATACTTTTGAAACACCCTTAAACAGTTAGCAAAATTATGAAATTAATCAACAATAGTCATTATTTCTTGAACAATAACTATGTAGTATTAAAAATTCCTAAAAATTACAATCTTATATCTTAAGGAAGATCTCTCAGACAAATCAACTCGCAAAGTATAATAACTATTCCTTGAAAATAATGAATAAGAAGAAAACAATGTATAATATCTATCATCAGTTCTCTCCCATCTTGATCTTCCCTTCAGAGAGTCACCCTAATAATCTGTTGTCTTTTTATTAGTCAATTTAAGTAAGTATTTATTTAGGTTAATGTAGAGGGTAAATTTCTCTACTTATATAATAATATATTATAAGAAGGCTATTTAGGTAATAAACCATCAAATGGTCACTTAATATCAATTAAGTTTTAAAATTGGTCACTACTCACCTTTTCTTGACTTTAAGGTCACTATATAGCAATTATGTTTAATTTTGGTCACCAAAATATAATTTTCCCTAAAATATAATATATAGCAAAATGAATGATTCCGAATTGTAAAAAAAAAAAAAAAAAGTAACAATGTTGGACTCATACTATTTAGAATGAGGGATCGAATGACTTTTGGTTGCTCAAACAAACAATGGGCCGATATGGATACTAAAGTAGTAGTTGCAATTGAACATGAGTGAAATGTTGATCTCTGTTTAAGTCCCACTTTAGAGAAGAGCTGAAATCAACTTCTTGCTGCTGTAAACGCTAAAATGAAACTGTAATTGGTAGACTAGTTTGTCATTGAATAAATAAAGAAATAATTTAATAATATGTAAATTCAATTAATTCAGAATTCTTGATAAATTCAGAATCCTGTAAAATGAAACTGTAATTGGTAGACTAGTTTGACATTGAATAAATAACAAAATAATTTAATAATTTATTATATACTCTTTTTTTTTTTTTTAATTTATTGATAGAGTGGAGATTCGAACTTAAGCTTTTGGCTACAAGCAAACACATGTCCTACCACCAACTTAATTTATACTTATATATATATAAACAATAAATTTGTCATTGAATAAATAACAAAATAATTTAATAACTTATTATACTCTTTTTTTTTTTTTTAGTGGGGATTCGAACTTGGCCTTTCGCCACAAGCAACACATGCCCTACCATTGGGTTATCAAACCACATCCAACTTAATTTATACTTATATGTATATAAATAATAAATTTGTCATTGAATAAATAACAAAATAATTTAATAACTTATTATATACTCTTTTTAAAAAAATTTATTGATGGAATGGGGATTCGAATTTGGGCCTTTGGCCACAAGCAACACATGACCTACCAATGGGCTATCACACCACATCCAACTTAATTTATACTTATATGTATATAAACAATAAATTTGTCAATAAATAACAAAATAATTTAATAACTTATTATATAATCTCTCTTTTTAAATTTATTGATGGAATGGGGATTCGAACTTGGACCTTTTGGCCACAAGCAACACATGCCCTACCACTGGGATATCAAACCACATCCAACTTAATTTATATTTATATGTATATATAAACAATAAATTTGTCATTGAATAAATAACAAAATAATTTAATAACTTATTAAATACTCTCCTTTTTTTTTTTATAATTTATTGATGGAGTGGGGATTCGAACTTGAGCTTCGGCCACAAGCAACACATGCCCTACCACTGGGCTATCACACCACATTCAACTTAATTTATAAGTATATGTATATAAACAATAAATTTGTCATAAATAACAAAATAATTTAATAACTTATTATATACTTTCTTTTTTTAATTTATGGATGGAGTGGGATTCGAACTTAGGCCTTTGCCACAAGCTTGCCCTACCACTGGGCTATTAAACCACATCCAACTTAATTTATAATTATATGTATATAAACAATAAATTTGTCATTGAATAAATAACAAAATAATTTAATAACTTATTATATACTTTTTTTTTTTTTAATTTATGGATGGAGTGGGGATTCGAACTTAGGCCTTTGGCCACAAGCAACACATGCCCTACCACTGGGCTATCAAACCACATCCAACTTAATTTATACTTATATGTATATAAACAATAAATTTGTCATTGAATAAATAACAAAATAATTTAATAAATAACAAAATAATTTAATAACTTATTATATATTTTTTTTTTTTTTTTTTTTAAATTTATTAATGGAGTGGGGATTCGAACTTAGGCCTTTGGCCACAAGCAACACATGCCCTACCACTGGACTATCGCATCACATCCAACTTAATTTACAAGTATATGCATATAAACAATAAATTTGTCATTGAATAAATAACAAAATAATTTAATAACGAGTCAAGTGTAAAAAACACCCTGTACTTTCAAAAATGTGCAAATAACACATCTGTTGTTCAAACGTCAGTTCTCTAATTTCAAAAAATTGAAAATAAGAACTTTTTGTCAAAGGGGTAGGTAAAAATATGAAAATACCACCCAATATTCTTTATTCAATAATAATAAAAAAATTGAAGAAGTTGAAATTACACAATTAGACATTAACCTAAACTATGTCGTTTTGGGTAATGAAACACAATCCACCATCTTCGAGCATTGCAGAGCCTACACGCCATTGTTTTGCTCTGTTCTGCCTTATTGTTTACTCCTCTGTAATTAGATGAATCAGAGAACGACTCCGCATCTGAGGAGGAGAGAGAGACTCTCTCTCTAGTTTGTTGGAGAGCTGTATTGAGATTCGTGACCGTCGCTTCGTTCTCTTTCGCGATTCTCTGCCACACTTCCATCTCCAGCTCCTGCCATCTCAAGCACTCGAGCTCCATTGTCCTCTTCTTCGCAGTCACCAAGTCTTCCTCTTTCTCCCACATCAAACCCATCGTTTTCGCTTCGTATCGCTTCAGCAAAACCCAGTTTGTTGCCTTGTTTCTTCCAGAAGAGTAGTCCTCAGTCTCTCACTTTGTTTCACCGTGTTCATCACAAATCAAGAAAAACCCAGAAATGAATTAATTATATAAATCCAAAATCAAACATGTGTGTGGAAATATGAATCTATATTATGAAAACCCATTTGGGATTTTTTTCGAATCTGACCTGTAGACGAAGAATCCAGTCGATTTCTTGCCTCTGCTTCTCGAGCTCGGCAGCCAAAGACAGAAAACTCCATTGTTGGATAGTTATGATCAACACTCGATGAACAAGAAGCCCCTTGATTATTATTATTACTATTGAAACCAATAGATTGAAACACTTGCTGTTGTGGGTGTTCTTGAAATTTGAAATTAGCTCCATCTTCAATCCCCAAAACAGAGCTCGTAAGCCAACCCAGATTTTCAGAATACAACTGTGCCTGAACAGCCATCTCTAACTGCTACAAAACCCAAGAAATCAATTGAATAACAGAGAGAGAGCAAAAAGCATGCTTCTCTCCTAAATGGATGAGAAATGGGATAGGTGTAGAAGTAGAAGGCTCTTATCAGAAGAGACGCATGATCTCTCTCTCTCTAAAACTTCCTCTGATCTCTCTCTCTCTCTAAAACTTCCTCTCTCTAAACTCCTCTCTTTAATGGCATAACCTTTGCCTTCTTTGTTGCTCTGGTTTGTGGTCTATATGTATATAAACAATAAATTTGTCATTGAATAAATAACAAAATAATTTAATAACTTATATATACTTGTTTTTTTTTTTTTTTTGTTTTTTGGATTGGTAATTGGAATTAGCGCCATTGGCCACAAACAACATATGAGCTATCAAACCACGTCCACGTCATTGAATAAATAACAAAATAATTTAATAACTTATTATATACTCTTAATTTATTGATGGAGTGGGAATTTGAACTTGAGTCTTTGGCACAAACAAGACATGCCCTACCACTGGGCTATCAAACCACATCCAACTTAATTTATACTTATATGTATATAAATAATAAATTTATCATTGAATAAATAACAAAATAATTTATTATATACTCTTAATTTATTAATGGAGTGGGGATTCGAACCTAGGCCTTTGGCCACAAGCAACACATGCCCTACCACTGGGCTATCACACCATATCCAACTTAATTTATAAGTGTATGTATATAAACAATAAATTTGTCATTGAATAAATAACAAAATAATTTAATAACTTATTATGTACTCCTTTTTTTTTTTAACTTGGGTCTTTGTATATAAAGAATAAATTTGTCATTGAATAAACAACAAAATAATTTAATAACTTAATATATACTATCTTTTTTTTTTTTAATTTATTGATGGAGTGGGGATTCGAACTTGGGCCTTTGGCCACAAACAACACATGCCCTACCACTGGGCTATCACATCACATCCAATTTAATTTATTCTTATTTGTATATAAACAATAAATTTGTCATTAAATAAATAACAAAATACTTTAATAACGTATTATGTACTCTTTTTTTTTTTTTAATTTACTGATGGAGTGGGGATTCGAACTTGGATCTTTGTATATAAACAATAAATTTGTCATTGAATAAACAACAAAATAATTTAATAACTTAATATATACTATCGTTTTTTTTTAATTTATTGATGGAGTGGGGATTCGAACTTGGCCTTTGGCCACAAGCAACACATGCCCTACCACTGGGCTATCACACCACATCCAATCTAATTTATACTTATTTGTATATAAACAATAAATTTGTCATTGAATAAATAACAAAATAATTTAATAACTTATTATTTACTCTCTTTTTTATTTTTAATTTATTGATGGAGTGGGGATTCAAACTTGGGCCTTTGACTACAAACAACACATGCCCTACCACTGGGCTATCACGCCACATCCAACTTCATTTACACTAATATGTATATAAATAATAAATCTGTCATTGAATAAATAACAAAATAATTTAATAATTTAATATATACTCTTTTTTTTAATAAATTATTAAATTATTTTGTTGATCTCTGTTGAAGCTTTTGGTAATGTCTCCAACAATGAGAGATCTCTATGCACTATGTGCTTTTTTTTTTATTTCTTTGAGGGACTGATATTGTAGACTAGTTTGTGGATTTTCTGTCATTTTGTTCTCTGTAATTTTCTCTTCTTAGTCTTAGAAAGAAAAAACTGCATCTATTTTAATCACAGTGTCCTTGAGAGAGCCGTGAAGAGCTCCACACCCAGGTCTTTGGTGGACATCAGTGAAGAAGTGAGACCTTCTTTGTCATGTGTTTGTTCAGTGAGGTTGACAATAACTCTTTTTTTTTTTTTTTTTTTTTTTTTTTTTTTTTTTTAATTTGAAATTTTATTCATGCTATTCTGCGTAAGTGCAAAAAAAAAAAAAAAAAAACTTTGCTATATACAAAATCTGCAAATAACCCGTGCTCTAAAAACCTCCCACATTTTTCAAATTTTACAAATAAGGACAATTCTTCAATTTGAAAACTGAAATACCTAAAATACATTTAGAATGCAAAATAATAATAATAAAATAAAATTTTGGTATAAATTTTTGGGTATAAATTTTTTTTTTGTGTTTATGTAAGATTTAGGGGGTATTTTTGGTTTTTAGAAAAATTTTGGGTTTCAAGGGGTTTGCAAAAAATTGAAGAATGAAATACCTAAAATGGCAGTATTTTGGAATTTTGATGAAAAAAGAGTTAAAATTGACTATCAGGTAACAATTGGTACAAAATTTCAAATTATAAAAATTTGTACGTGCATACTACATTTTTATATGACAAGTGTTTGTTCTTTTTTTTTTTTTCAATTTACTTTTTTTAAAATACAACTATAGAGGACAAAATTAGGCTAATTTTTCTGCAATGGTTGCCGTCTTAATTGGATAATAAGAATTATAGGTAATCGTTAGATTAAAATTATACATACATATATATTATTACATTACAATATATATGGATGTTATATATATTAGTTATATAATATATATAAATATTAATTATTTACCAATATATTCATTTGATTATGTAGTTATATTATGCACCATCCTATATTTTAACTAAACTCACTCCATATTATATATATGTTACTGAATATGATTTTAATTAAAATTCAATTCGATTCGAATCCGAGCTAAATAAAATATGAATTAAAACATTCAATCCGATAATCTGTTGACGACTCGAGTTTGATAATCAGTTAACCTAACAAATCGGATATGAATTTAATTAATCCCGTTGACCGACATATGAATGACTTGCCCGGTTGAATGTTTCAATTCACCAAGTTTTGCTTCCATTAGATTATTGAATTGGTTTGATGCTACGATTTGAACCAAATAAATTACACAATATGAATATTTTGTGGTTTGATGTTCGGTTTTTTATGTGTGTCTCCCTCTCTCTTTCTCACGGGACTCTTCCAAATATATATATATATATATATATATATATATATATAGTAGTATTACATAAAATCACTCTGGATTACTTAGATAAAAGAGAGGACGGTTTAATATTTTTCATTTTGGGTACAAATCTCTATAAATAAATAAATAGTATTATAATATATATGAATAAAACTATAAAATAATAAATTATAGGAGGCAGTTAAGTACAATTATGAAAAAATAAAAGAAAAGAAGTTTTATAAAATAAAATAAAAGAAAATTATGTAATTTTCTTAATGGTAAATTTACTAATAGTTTGCTCCCCAAGACACTACTATCCAAATCTGATCACGGAATTTTTAACCTATAAAATCTCTCCGGGCCCTCATCTCTCTCCTTCATCAAATGCTTTGATGCCTCACTCACATCTAATGCCCAATTGCCATCCCATTCAGAAACAACCCCCAACTCGAAAAAAATTAGCATCGACGCCGCCACAAAGCACCTACCACCGTTATCGCCGATAACAAAACAACCACTGCCGCCGCCCAAGCCAGAGCAGAACCATTGAGTCCTTGGGCTTTGCATCGCCTCCCTTCTTCCTCTAAATCAAGCTCTGCAAACCAGACATTGTCTTCGCCTCCGATGGTAAAATCCTAATTCTTAATCAAAACCATCCTCGTTTTCAAAATTGTAACTTGTTAATCGCTGTAACTTGGTTTTCAGAAAGAAAGAGTCCCGTGGATTTGATTTCCTCGATTATTTTCTCATTGCTGTACTCTGTTTATCGAGGCTAAGCTCAAGAAAATTCAACAAGGTTCAACATGGAAGCCTCTGCCATTACCAAGATTCCATCCGGCTTTAAGTTTCAGCCCACTAATGAGGAGTTGATTCACTATCTTTCATGCAAGGCCAATGAAGCACCATTGCCATGCTAGGGTGTCATTCATAACGTATTTGACCTTTACGGCAAAGAACCGTCGGAGCTTTTTGCAGGGATCGAAAGAAAACATTCTTTATTTCTTCACCAAGTTGAAGAAGAAGTGCGAAAAGGACTCGAGGTTTAGTCGTGTGACGAAGATTGGTAGTTGGAAGGGCCAAGACAAGGCTAAAGATATCAAAGGAAAAGAAACACTGATTGAAATGAAGAGAAATTTTACCTATTATCTCAAGCCTGATCCTAAAAGGAGTGGATGGAGCATAACCGAATATAATCTTGGTGGCACTAATCTGAAAACATATATGTATTTTTGTTGATTTTCTTTTATTTCTATGTTTAGTTTTCTAAACACTAATTTTTTTTATTTGATTTTATATGGTATCAGGTTAAAGAATATGTAATTTTCCGAATTAAACGACAAAAACAAAAAGAAAAAGAAGGTGTAATGGAAGTGGCAGCAGCCTGCAACACGATCAAAGAAGCAGCAATTGAACCACAAGTCATAGTAATAGAAAACTGCAACTTGATCAAAAAGGAATCGAACCGGAACCAATGGCCTCGCAACCAGAAGACTGGAACTTGATCACAGAAGGAATGGCCTTGCAACCAAAAGACTGGAACTTGATCACAGAGGGAATTAAACAGGAACCAATGGCTTTGCAATCAAAACTGCAACTTGATCATAGAAGGAATCGAAATGGAACCAATAATGGCCTTGCAACCAAAAGACTGCAGCTATTGGGTGAACGAATTTGCCAAACAACTCCTCCAAAATCAAGAAGAAATAGGAGAGAGTGAAACAGTGTTGATGCCAATTTTTTTTTATGGTGATAGTTGGTGCTTCTCAGAGAATGATGTAACAATTTTTTAAATTGGTGAGAATTTGATGTTGGAAAGATATATGCTTCATGTGACATTTAAGATATAACAAACCTTATACTAATATGACATGTGATAATTAACAATATGCTAAGAAATCATTAATTAAATATGCAACTCTATATTTAATTAAATATGCAAAATAAAGTAATAAAATAATAATAATATACAAGGAATGAACCTACACCGAGGCTAGTATTGGATATTATGTCCTTAAGACAG